TTACACACAAAGGAAAAAAAGCATAAACTACAATAGCAGCTTTCAGAATATAACTGACAAACCACAATATTAGGATATGATTTTTACAGCCAGCAGAGAACTGCTAAGTAAGTCATACATAAATCAACATTTTCAGACTTTATGAACTCTTTCAAGGTATTGCATAGCTTTTTTTTTTTCTCTTTTTTTGTAGTGCACAGTTTAACAGGCATGCTTGCACTGACATTTCACAAGATTTTATATCACAATGTAAGAATGTAACTATTATTAGAAATAATAAAAATAAAAAGACATCATGAGCACAGTTCTAGGTAATTAAGCAAAGAGAAATTAGGATATGCTATCTAACAGAACTGTAATTAATATCAGGATTGAAATACCAATGGATACACTAGTTTAACAATTGCAAAGGAACAATTAAGACCCCCAAACTGAATTTTATTAAAGACACGGAGGCTCCTATTATGCATATCTCTTTCTTTATTACTCTCAGCAGCAAAGACAGAGATGAATAAATAACTGAAATGAACAAAAAAAGTACAGTACACAAGCAACCAATCACCTAACACAGGAAGTGACTATAATAGGCTTGTGACACCCACAATCCTCCTCTTTCTTTGCTGCTTTCAGACCAGTTAAGTACTACTTTTTTGTGCTCTGTTGGATTCTGCTTGTTGTAATGTTTTAGAGTGTTATTTTGCTCCTATTTGGTTGCTTGCACTGTTATTTTTACTATTCATTGCTTTTCCGACAGTTTTTTTATAATGTACTGCCATGGTGTGTGTCCCCTGGGTCCCTCTCCCACCCGAGCGGCTTCCCTGCTGCCCGCCCTTTCATTCCCCCCCCGCGGGTCATGGGTGGCCTCCTAGTGGGTGGCATAGCCCGACTCTGTTCGGTCTCATACTTGCGAGCTGCCGCCAAGCTGCGCCCCATCCCCTTCTGCATACCGCCCTTGATCACCCTGCCTCGTGCGGCGGCCATTTCTCTCCCTTCCGACCGCGTTTTTTCTGGAGGGACCATTTCTGGACCCCCCAACCCTCTAACTTGGGTCCCCCTGGACACACCACCTGCACAGGTACTATTCTTTGCTGGTTTTATGCGTGTGTATATATATATATATATATATATATATATATATATATATATATATATATACTTTTTTTCTTTAGTGCTTTTTCCTTCTGCTGTGTGTTTCTTTATGGGTTATTAAACCCTTTTCCTTTTTCTTTCAGCATGCCTATTTAGTGTTTTTTTTTATTAAAGGCAATTTTAAAATTCATAATTAATTTTCCTAGAGTTCAAACTTTAGTGAATAAATCTGTACTGTTTTTGGAATAAACAGTGAATGAATCCCTTAATATTATACGTATACCAGCATGGACATATTTTTCCCATATAAGGAGAAGACCTTGTGCCAAGTAATTAAAATTTAAAGAAATTAATAATCAGCAAATAACACCGCATTGGTATACATGATATGTTCTGCAATGCACATAGCGGGCACAACATAATTTTGGCATCTATTTGCTAAATACAGGGGAATATTCCACATTATGCAGGCTAAGGGTGATAGGCCTGAGGGCCAGCTTAGGGTCTCCCTCAGTGATTGCCTGATGAGCATGTGACTTCTGAGGAATTTCAAGCCTCATTTGACTCCACAATGGCGTCTTCCCTCCAAAGGGCTCTTGCCTCTCGATGGGAGTGATGTCATCATCGTTCTCCCAGACACTGACACAGGCCCTCTTAATGCCCCTGAGGGTTTCCCCTACCCTACTGGGTACGGGGTTCCCCCTCTGCCCCTGCCTCACCTATGGCCCGTAAGGCTACAGCGAAGGTCAAACACCTCACCTCCCACTCCTCGATGCAGATGTCACCTGCCCTGATAGACTCGCTTGAGGTGGTCACGGATGGCGCGCTACCACCGTGCAAGAGAGCCCCTGGCCGGGTAAAAATGGCCAAATAGTGGAAACGGGCTAGATCCCGTGCAGTAAGGTCAAATACAGACTCAAGAGAATGACTCAGAGGAGGTAAATTATGCCATCCTACGATGAGACCGGCTCGAAGGAGGAAGCTCCCCCGGCTCGGAGGAGGAAGCTCCCGGTTACTGGTCCCATTCAGGGTGCTGCCGTTCGGCGGGCGAGGGATGGTGCGGCGCTTCTGGATACTCAGGGTAACCCCCTGTTCGACCCGGGTGGCCTGCGTCATCTCCGCTCTGCTGAGTGGGAACTCCCCGGGCAATATCGCCCGATACTTTGCGCAAAGGATGCACACTCCCCTCTCTAGGAGAGACGCAGTATGCTGCGAGCTGAATGCCCTAGGCCCTCGGTGGCGGGCTTGGCATGTCACACCCCGGCAGCTGACACGCAAATGGCTCAGTTCCTTAACAAGTCAGGCTGGAAGCCGAAATATGGCTTGGATTTTCATTGGAAAACTGCCAGGACAAAATTATGGGCACGTAGGGCCTTTGTCCAAAGCCTAGAATTGCTGGATTCTGCCAAGACAGGCGAATCGGAACTTGATTTGGACGTAGCGATAGGCTGGGTCCAACAGGCTACATGCTTGCTAGGCAACGAAAATATGGCCATGTCGCCCGAACACTGCAAGGCAATACTCCTTAGACTGATCCCAGCTGGCTAGTATGGCCATGCCAGAGTCAGGTCCCTCAGCTAAGGGGATGTTGTTCGGCGACAACTTTATCAGAGACCTGGGGTCATATGTTAAGATTTTCAGTGCCGTAGACAAGTTCAGGCGAACATAAATAGAGTTTTCTTTCCTTCAAGAGCGGGTGGTGGGCAGATTGGCCCGGTTTTACAACAGTTGCTTGGGTTCTCCAAGCGATACAGGGTTACCGTTTAGAACTTGTACCCATGCATGTCCAGTATTTTGCCCCCGAGGAATTGGGCCTGTCTCAGGAACAGGAATTATTAATCTCCACGGAGATCAAGGAACTATTTGACAAGGGAGTGACCAAATAGTTGCCGTTCACCTATCCGGGTTCTACGAGCAACCTCTTCTTAGTACCAAAGGAAGGAAGCGGAGTGTGCCCCGTTATCAACCTCCGGCCTCTCAATGCTTTCCTACGGTACCAACACGTCCGGAGGGAGGGCATCCATTGCCTTCTGGACCTCCTCCAGGTGTTGAACTGGATGGTCAAACTAGACTTGTAGGGCGCCTATTTCACAGTTCCTATTGCCGAGGAACACAGAGATTTTCTCCAATTTACTTGGAGAGGGAAGCGGTAGAGGCTTACATACTTACCGTTCGGACTCTCATCGGCTCCTTAGTGTTTCACCAAAGTCAGGAAACCAGTAGTGTCATTCCTCCGAGCACGAGGTGTTCCTCTGATTATATATTTAGACAACATCCTGCTCGTGGCCCAATCAAGAGACCAACTAAGCTTGCATATCAGCTGGATGACTGCGTTATTCCACGACTTGGGTTTTTCACAATCATTTAGGAAAAGTCCGTATTGACCCCGCTCAGTCGGTGGAATGCTTGGGGTTCCTGGTGGACTCTGCTAGTCAGCTATTGTTCCTCCCAGAAGCCAAAATGAAAGCCATCTTGAAGGAGATCAGGCGAACGCTGTGAGCAGACGACCTGTCTACCCGACACGTAGCAAGAATGATCGGCCTGCTCGCAGCTTCGATCCAGGCAATATTTCCAGGACCGCTTCATGATTGGGCCCTCCAGCGGCTCAAGGGTTTTCTTACCTACATTCGGGTCCTTCCTACTAGACAAGGTAGAGGTTGGACGTCGAGTCCAGAGACGAGCTAACTAGGTGGCTGGCTCACATGGACATCTAGAACGGAAAAGCCATCTTCGGATCAATCCCAGATGTGGTGATCGAATTGAACGCCAGCTTACACGGCTGGGGTGCGTGTTGTGGCACCGCTCCCACCGGAGGCAGATGG